TCACAGTTTTCTGGACTTGAGGCTTCTTCAATCTTAGATATTATTACTGCTTAACCTACATTTTTTTTTTAAATTCTCCTTCACTTATACCATCACAGCTCAAAACTTCTGTTATTTCCCAAATACAGTTTAGTTCTTTTGTTAAACTTCCTGTTGCCAACTATAATTAATTCTGTTGTGATCATTATGCAAATCTTCTACACACTTTCCCTCATCTTTATTTTTTTTTCTGCCTCAAATGCTATCTTATTTATTTTTACGTTTTATAATCCCATCCCACCAAGAACGCCAGAAAAAGTAATTATGAACTTCGAGGCTTCGTTAACCTCCGTGCAATTTGTCACATGCGACCAATCTATATTTTTTTGTTTATTTTGGAACTCTTCTTTGTTGTAATTCTTCATTAACCGAATTTGTGACTATGTCATCTACAGGGTATACTAACCACAATTCCGAGATAGAATACGTCAATCCTAGTCTGTTGGTGTGTTTAATGGCACTAGTAAACAGTGCCATCAATCAATATCACTAATAGTGGAATAGACTGTTGGGCATTTAGACATGTATTATAGGTCACTAAGTGATAGATAAGACTGTCATATTCCTCCTTTGTTAAAAAGTCTGCATCTTTCATATACAAGTACCCACTCCTCCCACACGTTACATCTCGTAGCACGGCTCCGGCTATTCATTCCTTTTTGTACAATAAATACAGATGACTAGGTAGTCCTGAGATGGCTTTGTTATCTTTAAGGTGAAGTATTGCTAACAGGTGACGGGTGCCTGACTCATTAAGGCACAAGAACGCAGACACTACGCTGAATATCATAACTAGTAAAGTGACCCATTTGATCGATAAATATATACCCAAGACCAAACCCAGTGCCTCTTGGAATACGAGGGGATCCCTACACATGAACCATGCGTCGGTCGACAAAGTTAAGAAGAAAACCCAGAAATTCAAGACGTGGGTTGGGTCAAATAATGAGCAGGACAGGAGGATGTATGCAAGAGCCAGAAACAAAGCAAAGATAGAATGTAGAAGGGCTGAAAAAGAGTTCCAGAGGTTGATTGCAAGCGAGGTCAAGTCAAATCCAAAGGCGTTTTCCCGCAATGCAAAGTCGAAATTAAAATCGCGAGTAGGAGTATGAGACCTGAGGCTTGAAGATGGTAGTTATGCAGATCCTGACCAGGATAAAGCTGAGGCATTGAAGAGCTTCTTTTCCTCGGTGTTCACAAAAGAGGATGTGATTAAACCTTCCTGAGTTTGAGGACAGACGGTTCGACATAGCACTGACCCACATTGTGTTCACAGAAGAGGGTATTAGAAATAAACTGTCAAAGCTAAAGGTCCATTATACTGCCAGATCATGGGGTCACTAAGTCTAAGGGGATAACTTAACTGCCCTCTGGGCAGTAGCTCGTTAGGTAGCGGGCAGAGTGGACTAGGCATTGGGTTAGTTCTTTCAATTGTTCTTTCTACTTACTGCACTACTGCAGTTCATTGGTTACTACATAACCTCAGTTCTTTTTGGTAGCATGTCGAGGGTCTAGGCACATGGGTATTGCAATTCTGATATCAGGTCCCTTGGACGGAAATAAAGGTGTTTCTGCTGGAAATGAATACCCTTGATATACTCTAGAAAATGTTTATTAAAATGGACTCAAAGTGGGGAAAAATATATTATTAACATATAACTCTAAGGCAACTCCTAGGCTTTACTCAACCTCAAATTGCATTTCATTACAGACATTACAACTTCCATATGATACTTCACTAACTGTTGGAAGTGCATATGAGATGCACTCACAACACACAACATGTTATTACTGAAACCAACTCATACATTGATCCACTACCCAACATGGGATACTTATTCCAGAATTACCCTCCCCCCCCCATACACATACAACAACACTGTGGACATATAACTTCCAGGAAGCGTCCCAGGGTAGGACACTGGGGCTCACGACTGTGGCTATGATCGGTGGTAGCTAGACACATGGCGAGTCTGGGGTCTGGCTCCACGAGGCAGTGTGAAGCCGATTAATCATGCCGAATCAGCACCATCGCCCATATATTGATCACCACTGAATATCCACCGGCTCCGAGCGACGGGTGGGGTTTCAATTAAGCCCACCCTCGATCTGTAGGACAACGAAGTTGGATGGCGTTACGGGAGGGAAGCATGGACAACACAATCACAACAAATCCTTCGTCTCGCAGCGTCAGACGACATTTACTTTATATTTCTTCTCACACTGGATGAATAACAATTAGTCTGTCACAACATGAACACTGATATTCACTACAATTGACTGAATCAAACTGAATGGCTAGGGAACACATCCACATACCTGTAGGACAACGAAGTTGGATGGTATTACGGGAGGCTTGATCCTCCCGCTCACCATGGATATATACCCCTGAGTTGCCAGCGATCGCTACTCATGAAATGACAGAAATTACAAACAACCCAACTGTTACTCATTCAAGGATGACCCTCAGTTGACAAAGTTCTGGCGAATTACTAAAGTTGATTTACCCAGACTAATTCAAGATTGAGTTTGCAAGTAGAGAGTGGAATAAACGTATTGACAACTGTGTTCGAAGGCGGGACTTACTGGGAGGGATCCTGAGTGTAAAACGAATGGGAAAAACATGTCTCTCCTTAATGCTATGAATACATACAATTAATATTATATAACCGTACCTGGGTACAATACAACACATGATTCCGTAACATTCATTAGGTGATTTAGTCTTTATCAATGACCCCCGTTCTCTGAGATTCTACAAGCGCGGTGGATTTGAATGTTATGTAGCGTAATATGAAATAAAGGGGGTCTTTAGGAATGACAATGATGTGCGCAGTACACCATAAGAGTCCCGGCCCTGACATGGTGCATCCTAGAGTGCTAATAGAGTTGTGCAACGAGCTTGCCGAGCCCCTGAAGATCCTGTTTTGTAAATACCTGGATGAACAAAAGGTCCCCAGTGAATGGAAAGTGGCTTATGTGAGTCCAATCTTCAAGAAGGGCGATCTTCACTCCATGAAAAAGTATAGACCGGTGAGCCTGACCAGCATAATATGTAATGTACTTGAGAGTATTATCAGAGATGCAGAGATGGAACATCTACTACAAAACAACCTTGTAAAGGATTGCCAACACGGTTTTATGCCGGGGCGCTCCTGATTAACATAATTGCTCAAGGTATTGGATATTTGGACCCATATTCTGGAGCGGGGTGGTAATATCGACAATATTTACCTAGATTTTGCCAAGGCTTTCGACAGTATCCCCCCATGAAAGGCTGAAAATCAAACTGGAAGGGTATGAAATTCGGGGAAATGTCCTTGCGTGGATAGAAGACTTTCTACAGTACATGACCGCAAGCAGTGTGTGGTGATTACTGGCACGAAATCATAATCCGTACCTGTCACAAGCGGGGTACCACAGGGCAGTGCATTGGGCCCGCTGTTTGTTTCATAAATGACATGCCTGACTTTGTACACTCCTTCATACAAATGTTTGCAGATGACGCCAAATTATTTCGGGAAATCAAGAACCAAGCGGACTGGGAAGAGCTGCAGAAGGACCTATGTCCTCCTCTGAGCATCCTCATCAACCAGCTCTCTCTTTCTACCTACACCAACCAGCAAGCAACACCTCCTCCGCCGCTGCCTGGCGGCCCTCACTCCCGCCGGCGAGCATGGCGACCCACAAGCTGTCCTCCTCTGAGCATCCTCACCAACCAGCTCTCTCTACATCACGCTTGTAACCACGCTGCCACTTCCCAGCACCAAGCTGCATTGTACATCCAATATAACATGTATATAGAGAGCACATTGTGAGTTTCCTTTCTCCAACCATCCTGAGTGTGAACCCAAACAACCTGTTCCCCACAATGTCACTGTTCACTGCCATGGAGGACAGAGGTTCGTACACAAAGAACTACATCATATTCATTGACAGTATAGTGTATAGGTCAGAGTCGTGTGGGTACACTGTTCGCCATGCAGGACAGAGGGTCGTACACAAAGAAATACATCTTCATAAGCAGTGTATATATAGGTCAGTCATGTGAGTGATGTCACTGTTCGCTGCCATGCAAGACAGTGGTTCATATACATTAGACGTCATATTCTAATTGAAGACTAATCAGTGTGGGCTAGCAAATTTGGGATAAACAGCAAGAATGTTCCCAAGCACCCCCGATTCAATGTAGTAATTACAAAGTTCATGAAACAATAAGCCAGGTCGCCTGAAGTCTTTGACAGTGTCACATTCAATAATATAGTGTTTAAGTGCATGCTTTAAAGGTTTATCACAAAGTTTACATGTTGGGTGTCTCGGTATGGGTACAGAGTTACTAACTTGCCAGATGTATCGGTATCCTAGCCAAATTGCAAAAAAATATCCATTAAAACCCACGAAATACAGTAGTTCCTTTCGAAGCAGTCATCGCTATCATGAATTGGTAATGGGCTGGTAATTACTATTTATTAACGGTATAGTTGATAAGGACATAATTATAAAAATGAATATATCAATAAAAAGTGCTATTTGCTAAATTAAAACGGTAGTTGGAGGTTAATAGTTATACAGTATGTGTTTAAAATGTTAACATGTAAAAGATTGTTTTTGTTTTTTTACTTCTGAACAGGTGTATATGTTGTGATCGAAGACCCGAGTAATAAGCGAGAAACCTCACATTATGTAAATGGTGTACAGTATTAACACTTGTACAACACTATACTGATTTGTCGAACCATGATAGGTCATTCGCTTAGTTATATGAAGTCAAAATTTGCTGTATGGCAAGTGTCATACCGTATAAAATATTGTGAACCGATACATATATAGAATCTAGTAAATTATAAAGTATTTAAAGTATTATACGATGCTATTTTGTTTTCTTTAGCACTCAATCCTGTTTATATTTTATAATTATATTACTTATTGTTTACAATCTGACAACACGGGAAATTTGGCAGGTGGTGAGCAATGGTAGTGGGATGCCTGGGGTAGAGGAAGAGGAGGGTGTCACAGGCGATGAGACAGACACAACACCTCCAGTAGACTCTCAGGCCAAGAAGGAGGAGCCATCAGAGGACTCTAGAAACATCAAGGAGGAGGAGGAGGAGGTAGCCACGGATACCAGCACCTCAGCTGACACCTCGGCCTCCAGAGTCTCCTCAAGGATATTGGGATCCAAGATCATGTGGGCGTGTAAACTATCATGTGTCTTGCTCACCATCATCATTGTCGTTCAAAGCAGGTTGGTAGATACTACATAAGATAAGTTCATAGGCATATTTTGTCATTTATTTTTTCTTGATGGTAACGTATATCTACTACAGTATATTCTGCCCTACATGAAGTCTCTGATGCATGATGTACACTAAAAGTACGAGTGTTCCTACAAATGACAAGATGTGACTGAACTTAACCAATGATTGTTGATTGTTTGCTGATGAATGTCTTGAGAGTTATTACTAAATGTCTCCTTAGAGGTCCAGTGAGGGCCATAGCCTGTGGGTCCTATCATGTCTGGATTTTGCTATTTGCTGTCAGGAATGGCTTAGTGCTTTTGCATATATATAATGATTGTCAACTCATTTATAGATTAAACTTAATTTTGATGTTCTTTTTGTTATATTTTATGTAGTGGATATTTTGCCATGATTGGCTAAGTACTTTTTGTTTAATATGACGAGGGCCACCGCTCGGCTAGGAAGTTAAGTAAGGTTAGGTAGGTTACTTTGTTTAGTTTGGTCAGGTTCTAATAAATGTCACCTGTTTTATAATAAGCTTCCATGCTCAACTGAAATGTGGTTAGGTATGTTTACAGCTACACAACGATCGAGTCACGGTGAAATAAATGCCTCATGAGTCGCGGTCAAATATAGTTCGTGTTGTTCGCTGGTAATGGACAATTGGCATATCAGAGTGCACTCACAGCAATATAGCGTTAGTAGGAACTTGCCAGTCACGACAAAATATCTACTGCCTATATTTTATGGTATCATTTTGGTCATCCAGCGAATTTTAGGATTTTGAGTTTCACATTCGGTAGTTTTGACAATTCTAAGACTTTTCTTCTGTAGCATTTCTTTCACAAATGATTACTTCCGAGAAAATTGCAATAATTTGTTAAGTTGAGTTAGGCTAGCTCAGGTTATGTTAGGTTTGAATTGTTTTTTCTTATAATTTTTGATGTGCTTTGAACGATTCTGACCTTCATTTCTATCGTAAATACTAATTTTTTGTGATCCCCCCCACCCAAACCCCTGGTTCCCACTGGGGTCCCCCCATTATTGTTGGATAAGGGGGGCTAGCTCAAAAAGTAGTGATTTGCCGTAGAAATGAAGGTCGGAATCTTTCAAAACAAATGAAAAACCTTTGGAAAAACATAATTTCAACTTCCAAATAGGTGGATGACCGAAATGATGATTTTACCCCTTTTATTTGGCAAATATGAAGTAGGGCAAGTCACTCATGTAATGGTTTTTGGGATTTTGTATTTTGAATATTTTAAATCTTTAGAATGACTCATTCCATAGAATATCATAACTTTAATTCTTTACAACTATTAAGCTCGTGAACTACAAACTTTAGGACAGTACACCAGAGAAGAGAAATGCATTCTTACCTCTTGCAAATATAAAAAAGTGGACAAATATTGGGATGCAACATCAAAGCTTCATTTGATGCCATTTTGGTTTAATCTCAGTGACGGTAAGCACGTGTTTGCCAGCTACTGCTACATTACAGTACAGTATGTGATTTCTCCTTTTTAAATGAACCAACCTGACCTAACCTAAAATAATACCTGTAGGTACAGTACTTGACGACAGTGTTATGGCCTTAGCACCTTCTTGAGAAAATTTCTCCATAGAAGATTTCCTAATTTGAGAAACTGACAAAAAATGCACAAGGAATGTGCTTTGCATAATACTGTATCACTTCTTATGTTAAAAAGGAATACAGTACAGCTAAACAAGACCTTGCCAATAAGGTTGCCATATACAGTATAGATTGTAGGGTTGGTTCTTTTTTGTTGGAAGGAATTTTATTTTATATTAGAAAAATAAGATACAGAATAAAAAATATTATGTTTTAGGTTAAGTTATGGTTGGTAGGTTAGTTTTATTTATTTTATGAAGGATGTCTTGTGGAATACTGTACTATACCTGTACCTAAAAAAAAAAAAAATCTGTGAAACAAACCAACACTTGATCACAGAAAGTAAACGTGGTGGAAGAAGGCAGATCCTGCGGAGGTAGAATACATGAATTATTGTAAGAGTGATATTATGCAGAATGCATTCCTCAATTTTTAGGATAAGAAAACTTATCTTCTTTCGAAAAATTTCCTGAAGTTGGTGGTAAGGTTGGATCACTTTCATCAGGTACCCTGTATTACCAAAATAATTCCTGTCTCAGACAGGAACCTTCAGTACATCCAGGATGTGCTAGCTACTGCCACAATATATGATTAATTTTTCATGAAATGAACTGACCTATATAACCTAATCTAACCAACATAATCTATATAATCTAATTTAACCTAGCCTAAAATATCTTTTATGGCCATAAGAAAAAATCCTGTACGAAAGAAACCATCGAACCTGCTCCAAAGACAGAGGAGGAGCCATGGTAGCGATGAATGTGGAATGTCACTGCCTTAGATTTGTGTTCAGTAAGAAAAATGGGAAACTGATATTATGAGATGTTTTCCTCACCCACTTTTTGGTCTTTTCATGAGGTATGAAAGCATTTATATAATACTGTATGGTGAAATAACCTAGAATTGGTAGTTCGGGAGTGCAATAGATGAAAAAAATGCCAGTGCAGCAATAGTTTACTCTCCTTTTGCATCATAATACAGTACAGTAATTGTAAATTTTCGGAATGTAAGAAGAGTTGCCACCTTCTATAGGACGAAGCATTAATATTTTAGTGGACTTTATGAAGATAAATTGAGTTTCACTAGTATTTTGTTCAAGTAATGTAAGCAGAAAGTATCACTACATTCCATCACAGTTGTCTATTTCTTTCAATGTTGTCATGCATTGTGTTTACATTTATGCTTGCATGTACTTTACCAGATGTATGGGTATCACTAGCAGCTGCCAGATGTGCATGTTGATTAACATCTTTCCACCAAGGTGTTTGAAGGGTAAATGAGCAGCTGTGAAATTTTTGAGGGTAAATAATTATTGATGGTGACATATAGTATAATTAAACTGTATGGCTCATGACTGCTTCAAGATACTGTATTTGAAATTGGGCAGGAGGAATCAAGACAGTATCATACAAGGAGGTTGAATAAATGAAGGCAGCATCCACTGCCTCAGGTGAAATCACTGTTTGCGACTAATATGTTGGCCAATATGGCAGCGATTCTTGATCATAGACTTCAATCTCCTTGGTTTATCCCACTATAATGTGTGTAATGAATAAAACAGCACCTGTAGAATAAATTCTACAGGATTACCTGTATCTATAACCATTGTTTGTTTTAGAGTAGCTACTGTAACTGTCTGTGATGCCTTGACCAAGATGGTGGCAGGCAGGATCCTTGGCTTCATGTGCCTCCATTGTCTACACAGCAGATGCTGCCTACATCCATTCGACCTCCTTTGTTTCATTCAACTGTAGTAATCTGGTCCCATAAGTGTACGAGATACATACATTTGCTGGACTGAAAGGGATAAACCAATTTGTGTTGTTGTACTGTATTGCTGTACTTTACTAATTAAAACTGCACCGGGGGTTACCTATGACATACATAAAAATATCAATGGATGCCATTTCATATTTAGCATCGACTTGGGGGCACAGGGTGAGTTTGGACAAAAATACCCCAAAAAGATGCAGAGGTAACAGCTCGTAAACAGTTACACCAAGTGTTAACAGGTCACAATGAAGAAACCTTGGTAATAATAAAGACTTAAATTAACCTGTAAACACCTTATATTTACCTTATCACAATCCATGTATCAAGAACACACACACAAAACCCTCCAAGGTCTTTGTCTTAGCAGGTCTTAAATCTCTTCACTACGAGATAGATTGTGAAAAGCTGATAGACAAACAGATGGGAGGTTAATATTAGGTCAAGCTTAATCTCTCTCTCTCTCTTCTCTCTCCACAAGCAGTTAGTAGTATAGTAGTAGTCATTTTTGCAAAAACTCAACCTTATGACCCCCTCCCCACTCTTCCCACCCTGTCATTAATTACCCAGAACGTGTTGTTGTTATCGCTGCTCTTAATTTTTTGAAAAAAAAAAAAAGAAAATGGTCACAACTGCGGCGGTCGTAAGTCGGGGACTACCTGTATGTTTTCAGTAACAATATGCTCATAGTACAGTACTATGTTTATTTAATTCTGGGGTTGTCTATGGACTGCATTTTCTGATCTTTGGGGGTATTTTCCCCATTTTTAGTACAGTAAAACCTTGATAAATCAGACCTCAATACAGGTACAGTATAACCTGTACAGTGATCCCTCGGTTAACGAACGCCTCAGTTAACGAATTTTCTTCCATAAGAATCTTCAATTCGGTTAACGAATTTCTTATGAACCGACCTCAACATGTTTTCGCTTGCACTGGCCGGGCAACCAGCTTTAGTATCAGTCCGCCAATACATTAATCGGTTCTAGGGCTTAAATTCCTTACTATTTTAGTAAATATCAAGAAGTTTATACTAATCAATAATTTTAAAAGTTTAATATTAAATTTTTTAGTAATTTTAACAATTATTGAACATAATTGAAGGTAAAGTGACTAGTTTAATGCGCGGCATCCAGCCTCTTAACACAGCAAACAGGCGTTAGTCTCTCTCTGTTTTCACTGGAGGTAACATCTTGCTTGAGACTCTCTTCAACTAAACGCTTTTTTTCTGTGTTTCCAAGCAAATTATTGGTCATTTTGAAATATATTTTACATATTGACAATATATAATGCAGTGCAGTGTTGATTTAAAGAAAATAATCTTGAAATACACCAAGAGAACTAAAATTTTATGGGTGAATGGTGCCATGGGGTGACTTCTCTTCCACCCCAATGCCTTCTCATCTTCCTTCTCCTCCACCCCCATTCTAATTCCCATCATCATCCAGGAGCCTTCTACATACACACCTCAAAGTAAGTGAACTTTTCTACCATTTTTGTTGAATTTAGGCAATTTTCGGTGAGCTGGAACCAATTACCCAAAAACCCATTGAAACAATGGTTTCGGTTAACGAACTTTTCGGTTAACGAACAACCTGC